AATGCCGTTCCTCCACTTGCTCCGCATTAGAAGGACTTGGTCTAGTTGAAGCCTCATCCCAAGCCTCGGTCTTGGAAGGTCCACATCTTTCCCGATATGAACTCGGCTAGCAGAGCTCCTTTTCTGTTGGTGGCATCGTGATAAGTGAACGGTGCATCTTCAGGGCCCATTCTAACGTTGAAGTCGCCCAGTATCATCAAGAAATTGTGAGCCGGCACTCCCATTACTGCTTCTGTAAGGGTCTGGTAAATGTTCTCAACCTGTTCTTGTTCTGCAGCGTTGAGTGGACCCTTCTTGATACGCCACTGCCCACATTATACCCCCACCAACAATAGAGCTAGCAACCCATACACTCCCACCAATATGGGCGTAAATCAGGGAGTAGTGTTAGGAAGGATTTATCTCCACACTTTATTTTAATAAGGGGGATGATTAGCCATTGGATCACCCCCCCCCCCCGAGTGTTGTGATGAGAATAACAAAAATAATCAAACAAATAAGTTTAGGTAAATACAAAAAAGAACAAACAACACACACGCCTAATGTGTTAATGTGTTAATGTGTTATCACCGCCCCCCTACTCGCTTATGCGGATTTATGCCTCTGCCCACCGACCCTAAATGTACCCCCACCCACCCTCAGTCCAATCTCTGCATCAGATCTTTAACCCCAGCCCCAAATTGAATCATCCTGACCAGCAAAAAGTTCAAACTTCAAAACATATACAATAAACAACTGGAGTTTGTCTGCAATACTTTTAATAACAAAGCTATATTGATAAATCAATTACAGATTAAACATTACTTCAAAAAAATGTGTTCACGAGAGTCAGAATAGTATCTCATCATTTAATACTGTAACAATCGATTTCAATCCAAGTGCAATGCTTGCAAAGTCTTTTTACTTTCCGTAAATTCGATTGAATTCTCCAAAACAGGGAGTGTAAAACAAGCGTGGTTATTGGTACCAAAGAAGTCCAGCCGAAGGAGCTTTAAAAACGCGGCATGTAGTTTTCCACATTATCAAAATCTGGAGTTGTATTAATTATTTACATTTTTCTGAGTAGTTGTATTCGATACATATCGCATTATTATAATTACTTCGTGTTGTAATTTATTGAAACTGCCAAACAGAGCTATAATAATCAAAATGTACTAAACAAATTAATAAACACTTTTATGAGGACCAATTATAAAGTGTTGCTGTGTTATAGGCCCTTCCTGACAACGTTAGACAATTGGTTTTTTTTTCTGTGATATTGTTACATTTAAAAACAAACATTGCAATAAATCAAAAACAATTATTTGATACGAATTCCCACAGTCAATACTATAGCTGCAATTAAACAAATCACGAGAGGAAAATAATAAAATAAATTAAGAAACTTGAGAATGTTATGGGTCATATTGTGCAATCAAATGCAAGCTTATTAATAACACCAAAACTTGTGAAGTTTAAGAAATGATAATGGGGCGTGTCCCCACACTGCAAAAACTGTGGTGTTAATTAAACACCATTCGGTATCTATATAGGACAACACTCAACACTAGTAAAAATTAACACCAGATGGTCCTATAAAGATACCAATGGTGTAAATTTAACACTACAGTTTTTGCAGTGCGCCCGCCCAAGGAAGAGCCTCTCCTTATCTGCGGCTTTCAAGTAATTGAAGTTTGGATGATTAGATAGACGTTTTTGGGGAAATCAGTTTTGTGCTGATGTCTGAGGCATGCATGATCTGAAAAAAGGGCAACCGATACGTTTGTTTTCAGGTGAATGGCGATTACAAGTGACAGATTTATTGATTTGTATTTATTTTGAATATGAACTTTGGTAAACTAATCGTCGGCTGCCTAGTCAGATTTTAAATTCATTTCATACAAAGAAAACGAATCCATGACCAAAAATGTATTGCATTACAGGAGTATCTCGCAAATAACAATGTATGCTTGACAGTGAATGTAATGTTTACCTTATTCGAAAAAAAAGGAAAAACATACGATACGATTTTTTTTTAATGACAACTCTTCTATTTCTACATTATTAGATACACATACAAACGTTTCAATTAGGATAATATAATTTCAGTACTTTTAAGTAGGCTGCAAGATTTGTTTTAAATGATACTTGGACTATACCATACGGTGCTACTATTAAGCACTCCAAACCATACTTTAATCCAATGCCGTAAAACTGTTCCGTGTATGCACTTATTAAAGTACATGTAACACAGTATTCAACTGAATTTTTTGATAAAATTGAAAGAATTTAAATTTTACACTTACTCATTAATTAGATATTGTTTCGGATCAGTGGCGTAGCCACGGGGGGGGGGGGGCGTGGGGGGCGACAGCCCCCCCATGAAACCTTGTCGCCCCCAGTCGCCCCCCCCCCCCCCACTGAGATTTTGAGTTTCTAAAAAAGTTATCATTGATCTACATGACCCCCCCCCCCCCCAAGGGCGGATCCAGGGGGGGGGGGGGCCAGAGGGGGCCATGCCCCCCCCCCAAAAAAAACGAGACCAATTTTTTTTTTTATGTGACATCGCAATAAAGGCTGGCAATGAGTACACCACCATCTTTTCCTCAAAAAAACATTGGTTAAAGTGGTCAGAAATTGCCTCAGATCGCACCACAGAGCATCTAGAATCCAAAATTTTTTTCGGGGCCCTTAAGCGGGCCCCGAACCACACGCCCTAATTTTTTTGACCCACCTTTTGGGGGGTCCAAATTTTTTTTGGCCCCCCTAAAATTGTGTTCTGGATCCGCCCTTGCCCCCCCCCCCATGAAATGTTCCAGCCCCCCCCCTCCCCCCAGCGCCCCCCCCCTCCCCCCCAGCGCCCCCCCCCCCCCCCCCCGAACTAAAAATTCCTGGCTTCGACACTGTTTCGGATAGACGGTGGAGCGATTGAAAATTCGGCGATGCGCGTGATCGTGTATATACTGGGCGTGGTTATTGTGTTTGACTATTCGGGGTAAAGGAGAAAGCCACTGAATGAGGTGAAGTGATATGAATTACTACCCGTCTGACCGTGTACGGTAAGATACACCGTGTCTCTACGATGCAGAACCAGCACCGCGCTCCCAGACACCTGCTCTTGATTAGTTGAATCCCCGCTATATCCAGTGACAACCAAGTCGCTGTTTTTCTTTAGATGTATGTAAAGGGTAGTACTTGAAGTCTTTTCAAGCACAGAAAATGTAAACACGTAGGTGCCCGGCACTGTACAGGTAAATGTGCCAGTCTCGAGATCGAAGCTGGTACCCGGCAAAAGCGTCTCGGTCTCCTGGAATGGCAAACAGGTGTCGTGACTCGTAGAGGTTTCCGAGCCGCTCGTCCTCACCACGGTGAATGCTACCCGCTGGTTGGAGCCGTCTGCTGTTTGTCCTGGCTCACCTTTCTGACCTTGCTGACCCGCATCGCCCTTTGACCCTGGCTGACCGTACGGCCCCATCGGTCCTCCTGGTCCAGGCAGACCTGGTATGCCGGGTATTGCAGCAGGTCCCTGGCAGCACTGCTGACACACCGGAGACGCAGGACCATCACCGTCCGAGGGAACCGGCCCAGTATAATCGGAAGCTCGGAGCTTGACAGAGTTACCCAGAAGGAGGGCGATTGAAATGATGGTTGCCATGCAATTGTTCATCTGTTTAAAAAAACACCAAAAAACAAAAACAAGTAAATACAAAAAATATGGAAAATAATAGGGAAAGATGAGATAAACAAAATTGAGGTCAGAGAAAACTGGAGAAATTGAATAAGGGTGAGACTTTTGAAATTTTGCGTCGGTTAAATTATAAATAAATTCATACATTATTAACATGTGAAATATGTGAAGATTTTCTCAAACATCACTGATCAAGTTCGAAACGCTTCTCTTCAAACTTTCTCATTAAAGGGAATTCATTTCCCGGAGACGAAAATGAAGGTAACAGTTTGGCGAACATCGCCGAATTATTTAAGACGAACATTCGCTCTTTGTCTAAATTGAAGTCTAAATCTGACTAATCTGAAAACGGACCGCTGGGGTGACTATAATTAACAAAACTTCTTTTATTCTGATCATGATATATGAGGAACATGATTTATGAATATCACTTGGACGAATTCGGCCGAAAATTAACCCTGTCAGTCCATACGAGGAGGTATTTTGGTCTTCTCAGCACTGCACTGGGTGAACATTGTGTTCCCAGTCGCCGGGATCGAGGGGGGGGGGTCCAACCCCCTTTTATCATTTTTCCTTTTTCTTTTTACATAAATTCCTTAAAAATAATGCGAAAACCGGCCTCCCAGCTCTGACACCCAAACATATGCTGCATGGTAATAAGAAAAACTCCGACTGTGCACAAAATACGTACAGAGCCAGCTTCTGTGCCAGTTGTTAGGGGGTATTTGTTCACTATTCTGTAATATACTGTTAATGATCGTCGGATTTGAAGGCGCACACAATAGAAGTAAGGTGCGAGACCCCCCCCCCCCTTGATTTTATGGAGTCAAGTGTCTGGACAAAATAAAACCTGTCTACATATTCAGCGTTGATTTGCTGATGGAACCCCCCTCCCGGCCTAAAATCCTGAATCCGCCCCTGGTTCCTCATTCCTATTTTACGTGATGATCGATATTCCTTACATTTAAAAGGACTTTAGGATAATGGCCAGTTCTCTACATTTTTACATTTACATTTATTTCATTTTTCGGGATACATTTTGTTACAACAAACAACAAAATTAAATACTCAGAAATGCACATGAACATATTAGACAAAACATACACAGTATAATATTTAACCATGCAGCTCCCCCGCTGGATTACCGTAAAGAAACATGGTTTATGTCGAGGGGCTCTCCAACTGATTAAATATGACACACTAAACACAATCTGTTATAGTTTTGACTCAAAATGTATCAATGCATATGAAAAGAGAATTCTTCCACCAAATCATCTCTCCATTGAGATGCTTGATTGAGGTAATTATCAAATAATATTCACTTAATACCTTGAAGTAACGTTTTGGAATTCTATCATGACAGGAATCCTCGACACTCGAGCAGATTGCTAGCTGAAAAAAAAAAAAAAATAGTCATTCAAAACTCACTCGGAGACGACTTGGGGACTGGTGAGGGAGGCATAGCTTAATTTCACACGAAAACACCGCAACAAATCTCTGTGATTGCGGATTGAGTTTTTTTTTCTTTCTCTTTTTATTTCAAGCTAATTGTGTTCTCCAACGGCTCTGACTGGACTCACGTTTGAGCAACAATCATCTTTGTTTGAGGATTTACTAGTTTGGAATCGAACGAATTAATCCCAAAATGAAAATTGTGTCGAAATGTGTCACCAAAATCAAGTTAAAGTCACGTGAGATCATATCGCAATGTCCGGACAAGTACCTATATCATGACAGAAACTTTGCAATGTCATAAGTGAAGATATGACCGGTTTCTAATTCCCTTAAATCGTTCGGAAAACCCTTGTATAGATTTGGTTTAAAAAGTGACCCCACGTTCACGTCACGGTGTTGTACGTTGTTGGAGACGGAATTCCATTACGAAAATCAAAACATTTCGCTTACATTTTCCTCAAAATGTACACATCTTCTATCTAAGCTGAATCTTCAACAGGTTCCTCAAAATGTACGTATCTACTGAGCTGAAACTTCAACAGGTTAAATAGATGTTGAGGACCTTACTAAAGATATTAAGAAATTATGTTGCTTCTAACAAACAAAATGCAAAGTAGATGATCCTATGTTTCTTTAATTCATTGGCTCAAAATGTGCTTGAATTTGTGGTTGTGAGAATCACAGTGAGCTTACAATTTCTGCATTAATAACGGAAAATGATATCATACCAAGGAAATAGTGGCGAACATATTACAGGTGGCATTCAAGTTAACAGTCGTTACAAAAAGAACTATTTAACCGGGTGGGGAATTAGAACACCAGATTGGCTATTAGCATCAGCCACCATCTGTTTCTCAACAAAGTATGTCCCAGAAAATATGTCAGATTTACTGCACAATAATTTAGTGTTCATATACATGCATTAAGCCAAATGGGCCTTATTCACGAGTTGGCCATTTTTGTCGAGATCCCTGAATGCATTTCATTCATTGTTAACTGTTGAAGGGGATGGCGCCAGACTTTTTATGCAGGCATAATGCAGCCTTACTTTACTGTCAGTTTTTTTTTTTTCTGGCCTTACACATTAGGGAACGTTAAATTACAAGTTTGAAATTATTCACTGAAGCAGAATGGACTTAATTTGTAATTAACTTGCTTTCATTTAACTACACAAGTTCCAGAAATCAAGATTTTACCTCACTCTTAATACAATATGGCCGACTTGTGAATACCACTATCGGTGTTTCAAAAAATATTCAACAGAATCTTAATACATGTAGTGGCATGTTGAGTGGAACCCTTTACATGCAAACATCACTAAATTCAAATTCATGTGTTTCGAATTTTTAAGGCTGAGAGCAGAGCATGCAGCAGGGCCGAATAATGTCTACAAATATCAACTCTATACATGATCAGAAATGAATCCAGTTAGTTAAAGCAATTTGAACTATAATGAAGCTGTTTGCATGATCATCCGGTCCCTTCATATTTGCGCCTTCTAATAGTGAAACCATAGAGCGTTTATTTCCGACTAGCCACACTGTTATTAGCAATGTTTGAATGTAATTATAAATCATTGACAGAAAATGGCGCGGATCGAATATTAACGCGCTTGCTTGGCTGTTGACATTCGTGTATCAGTAGTCACGCAATATCAGTTTCAATTGAAGTTTTGTTAAGAAAAATCGTGTTGTTTCAGTCCTCCAACAAGTACAGTTAGAGAAAAGGGAAATTTCAAGGCGGCTACCGCACTCGGCAATAATCTTAAGAATAGTCCCACGCTTATTGAAACAGCACTATGTGCAAAAAAGGCGACTTTTTTTGTTTCTGAAAAAGAAAAGGAAAAAAACAACAATTAATTGTTTCAAACACTCACCAAGCAAATCTCGTTCTTGCAATCAGTTCGCTCGGGTTGTCGTCTGAGGGTGAAGAGGAGCTGCGGTCTTGTGAGGAGTGAAGAGGCCACTCATTGCTTAAATATTGCCTTAGATTTCCCGAGCAGTGACTGGCCCGGTTTATGATTGGCCCCTGCTCACTGTCACTCTGACATCACCGACTCGCTTCATGTTAATAAGAAGGAAGTGATGTCAATGTGGTTGATGCTATACAGTCAGAATCAAAACTTGTGTCACCGACACTGAAATAGCCGCATCTTATTGGTGGATATGGATGTCGGTGACACGTACATCTAAAACACACGATTTGTGATTGACACATACAACCTGTCAATCACAAACCACTCACTGGTGATCACCGACTTGTTGGGTGATTTACTTTGATTGGTGGATTGAAAATTGACGTACACTGGCCGTGATTCATTAAATGTGCAGTTGGCACTTCAGTCCATTGAATTGTGTCGATTTATTTAGGATTGCATGAGGAATTAAATCGTAGTCAAGATGGCGGCCAAAGTAGATTTAACTGAAATCTGGGAGCGCGTGGGTGCATTATATGGATGCACTTAACTCAGATGAAACGTACTGTTATACAACAGTGCATTTAGTTCAAGTCAGGATCTCAAATTGGAGCACAAGGGAAGAGGAGAGGGGCTAAGGTCTTCCACTGGCGGGGGGGGGGGGAGGCAGTGAGGGGGGAAGGAGGAAGAAGGGGGAGGGGGAAGCAGTGAGGTTGGAGGGGGAGAAGGGGGAAGGGGGATGAAAGGGAAGGGGAAGGGGAAGGGGGCGGCTCATGTACCCCGTGTCTATAGTCGTGCCATGAGTAGGGCATTGCTATTTATTTTTGGGGATTTTAAAGACTAAGATACATTACATACAAGTTGGAAGAAAGTTAAGTGAACTTCTATGAACTTTGCTGTCAGCCTTGTATCATATTTCGGCAGCCTTGTATATTTGGACGTGCGTTTTTAGAATTGTGTAAAACCCAGTCCGAATGAACATTCCCAGGAAGGCAGGAATGTATGCAGTGCTATGATGGACTAACAAAGCACAATTAGTTAGCTAAACTAATGACACAATTCAACAATAGAACGTAAAATGAATTAAGATAAATATCCCTCCATATTAACAAGATAGGCATGTTTTGCATGACCAGATTTCCTGTGTTTGTTATTTAATGACTTTCGCATAACGATTCATCCTGAACTTTAGCCTTGGTGATATCCGGACAAATTAATCACACCAAAAGGTGTCATTCTGTTTGTTTAATCATTTCGACATTTAATAATCTCTTAAGCAATGGCGTAGCGCCGATATAAGTGTGGGTTGCGGTCGTTGGACGACCACAAGCCCCTCCCCCTCCTCCCAAACCCGGTGAAAAAAAGCCACTGATGTGTTTAGGGGCTTAACATTGATGGCCATGTTCCGAAGCCAGATACGAAGCCTAAGCTTACAAAACGCCCGAAGTCAAATTAAGGCCTAGTAAGGTGTTTCTCAAACTGCGGCTTCGTTCCGTTTGCGGCTTTGGGCATGCGGTTTTGGAATGGAGCTGCGGCTGTATGAAGCCGGGACTTGGAAAACCTCGCAAGTCACTTTCTTGGCGTGTGTATTATATAGTCTACGATCAAAACGCCTTGCTGTTTCGCTACTCGGTCATATACCGGTGAGAGTCAGGTTGAAAAGGCTACAGTTAGGCCATTATTTTGACCAGCAGAGTTAATTCCTTGTTATCATTTGGGGAACCGTCAACTTGGAAGTGGTGAAGATCTGGGGATGCAGAAGATGTTGAGTGGAAATGGACGGTACGTAGCTATTGAGGGCATTGCTCTAGAATAAATGTACATGTTGTAGCATGCACGCGTGCGTTGATTGTTAATACTTGAAAAAAAAAGTTGATGAAATACACACACAATTGAAACTAAAACTCTTGTAATGCGAAAATAAACAAAACAATATGTTTATGGCTGTCAGATAAGAGACACAGTCAATAAATACTGTAATGTATTAAATAGGCAATACTAAGTGTAAATATGAGAGGTGCAGATAATTAAATGTTAATAGTCAATGATGAAAATATAGAATAATAAGGGGGGGGGGGAAATGTGAGCTTGTCTTACATACGCAGTGTGGACTTCCGAACAAAAGACGTCCACATAATGTAGGTAGCAGCGACGAAGTGTGGACTTGCCCACGTCCACACAGTGTTTCCCCATTTCTGGAAAACAGGTTTAGAGGCATTTTTGGGTTAGGTTTATCTGTAGCAGAATGAAGAGAAACACTAAAGGGAATCATTGAAAAAAATTGGGTTGTAAAAGTTTTCACAGTTTGAGAAAAATGAGTTTTTCCACTGGTGTTCCTTAACTACACGAAAAGAAAGGAAAGTCCACACTAGGTATGTGAAACAAGTCTGGGTGTGCTTGCGAGGTGTTAAACACTATATTTAAGACTTATTGGAGTCTGGAATGCTGATATTTACCCAAGGTGAAGCAGAGGGCAATTATCAGCATTCCAGACTCCAACCAGTCTTAAACATGGTGTTTAATACCGACCTAGCACATAATTTATTCCCATTCATAAATAACCTTTCGGTAAAAAAAAAAGAAAACTTTTCGGTTCAAAAGTCAAAACTCGTTAATCCACAGGCGGGCTCGAGTAGGCCTATGGCTGTTTCACTTAATTCTGTCCCGCACGAGGGTGGCCAGTTCGTCTGTCGATTCTACACCGGTGTCCTTTTGCAACACCCCGGTGTAAGATATTTTCGGTCTTCCTCGCCTCCTGTATCCGTGGGTTGGTTTCCAGAGAATGACTTTGTGTGTCTCCAGCTGCGAGTGCTGGTAACAGTGGCCTGCTAACTGCACCCGACCGGCTGCGATTTTGTCTCCGACTCGTAGGAGTTAGAGTCCATGTTTCGCATCCATACAGTAGCACTGATCGATGACTGCTCGATAAGTGTTTGAAATCGGAGTTGCTGTCTCCACCTGCCCAAAGCAAACTGGTTTTAAGGCGCAAGAAACATGCCTTCAGACCTCAAGCCCTCATTTCTAAACGGAGATCGGCAAGTGAAGCCGGGTAGTAGGTGTTTGAATTAGGAGAGGCTATTTGAGACGTTGATCATATGGGACATTTCATGGAAGAGGAGTGGCTCAATCCTCCTCACCGCCCCGATCATCCGAAGTCATTTAGACCCCATTATTTAGTAGCTCAGAGATCCGTTTGCTCACCTCTTTCATCTGCGGCGTTGTGCACTAATCACGTTTGCTAAACTGCTGTGCTACCCTGTCGCAAATTGTGAGTGTTCTCCTGGAAATATTTAGCAAATAACCTCCTTAGGGTACCCCAGTAAATAGGCCAAAGATCCATCCCCTGAGCTCATGAATAATAGTTACACATTGAAATCGTTCTATATTACTTTTGAGAGCCATGGAATTAGTGGATTGAAGATTATGACATTGCACCTCTGGTCTGGACTTCCAATTCTGAGCATTTTGGGTGCAATTGGGTCCAAAAGTGGCGCTATTTAGCCATGTTGCGGATGGATTCTTTTTTTTAAATGGCTACTCTTCCAGTTTGGGAAATATAATTCGTTTAAGGGGGGAGTCTCTGGAGGGAATCTCAGTGGAGGGAAACTAAAACTGATTATAGACAACCAAAACCGTTTGTTTTCATAGGGGACGTGAGCTCGGCCCCCCTCCCCCCCCTCCCTCCTTCAACACCAATGTACCCTTAGCCCTTACCCTACCCCCACTTTCCGGAAAGTGCTGTCCCAAAACTGAACAACCATCAATCTCCAACATCTCCCTTCATCTTAAATTTCATTCACCCTCGACCCACACCCGACCCTCAAATCCCACCCATCACCAACCCAAATTCAAACGAAATAAATAAAAAGAAAATCAAAACATACGAAACATTCCAACGTAAATTACTTCAGTCTGCAATAAATTTAATATCAAAGCAATTATGATTACAGTTAATTACAGCTTTAACATAAGAATTTGGAAGAAATTACTGACGAGAGTCAAACAGGTTGTGTGCCATAAACGACAAAATTTGTTTCCTATTGGAGTATAATCAAAACGATTTTGTGCTTTTACTTGCCTGTGAAATCGATTGACTTTTTTTTTTTTTTTTGCAAAAGTGTTTGAAACACTTAAAATAAAGTGTAACAGTAGGATCAGAGTTTAAAATACGGCAGGTAGTTTATTAAATCATCAAAAGCTAGAGTTTTGCATAACATTTATATTTACTTTTTTCTAAGTAGTTATATTCGATACATATGACATTACGATTACTTTGTGTTGTAAACACTTTTCTTACAACCAGTTTGTGTATTGTAACTGACAAGCGCTACATTTTTTACGTGATAGTGTCATATTTTTCCAACAAATATTGGCATAAAATCATAAACGGGTATTTGATAAGAATTAAACTCTCGAAGTCAATTTGGCCTAACTTTAATTCAAAAACCACATACTAAAACGTCTGAATTCCAATTAAATTTTTTGAGGCAAAACATAAAGTGTACAGTGAAATCTCGATAAGTCAAACTCTGATTACTTAAAACAACTGTTAAGTCATGCAAAGAATCCATTCCCTTCAGTAGTATAACAATAATATACATAGTTGTTACAATAATATACAAGTACAATTGTGTTCCTGTTCCTTTGAGGTTTGACTTTTAGGACATTTAAGAATGTTTCTGAGTCCATTTTGGTGCAATTCAAATACAACCTCGTTTTAAAAAGAACATTTTGAAGATTAATAAATGATTTGGGGGCGTGTCAACTATGTTTTTTTTTTCTCGGAAACACACATTTTCAAGTGTTTCTGGAAATATTTTCGGAAAATCAATGTTAATGTGTCTGAAGATAAGCTTCTTATGACAATATGCTGGCATTGTTAGCACGGTTGGATCCAGAGGCCGTGATCCTATAACTTTATAACCAAAAGAATAAGCAATCCCACCGCTCCCGCACCGTCCGCATTGTTATATGCGTATTTGTCGCATTGTGCTTCGTGACATTATTAAGTGTAATCAGTGTGGTTGTATTTTGGCAAATAAATGTTCAAAAATTACATTGTAACGATTACATTTATTTGATGTTCTTTAACTCGTCTTTTGTATTGATAAATCCCAGGGTGGTTTTGATTTTATTTATATCAAAACTACATATACACGTGTGTTTAGTTATAAACGCGGAGTAATTGGTAGACAAGCATGTCATTGGATATTGCCCAGTTTAGTTGTGAACAGATTTATATTGAAACAGAACAAGAGTCACGAAATTTAGCTTTTCTTCAAAAGAACCATTTGTATAATTTTTTTTTTTAAGAAAATGCACATTTTGGCCGGTCAATCGTCATCGATGTCACGAAGAGCCACACCTGTGGATTTTGAAGAAAAAGCGTTTTTGAGATAATCGTAAAAGAAGTTCCTCAAATTTAAAACTGCAACAACAACTGCTGCTTTGTAACACCTTTCACATGATTCATTGGAACATTCACATAATTCTTTGAACGGTAAACGTTTATGTAAACCCATTAATTAAATTCAACACAGTTAATTAGCCAACACCAATTAGTAAAGATGCGTGTTCCTTCGTAAAAAAAACCAAATATCCACGTTTCCTACATTTAAGCCCTTTCTGTTCAACGTGATTTTTCATAGGCAAGAGGCGTGCGTATTACACGTGCGACTGATGATGTAATAAAGATGTGTGGCTCTTCGTCAAAAAGAAAATCTCACTTACCCTGCTTCTATGCCTTTCCATCCAACTGATACGTTTTGTACGCGTTCAAGACACGTCCGTGTCTCTACGTGATAACACAAAATGCACTAATTGAGATGCCTGTCCTTTGCATCATTGTAATTAAGAATTTAATGATGTTTTGCTTACAGAAGCATGTCAAAATGGTTTACGGTAAAATATTTTTAAGCAAAGTAGTGGAAAAAATAACCTCGAAAGCAAAAAAATTGTCATTTTTGACATATGTGGCTCTTCGTAAAAACAGTGACGAAATGACATGTATTTATACGCACACATTACTTCCGGTTTGATGATGTCCACAGTTAAAAAGTGCAAGCTGAACATTGATTTGGTTCAGGGAAGATACGTATTCATTCATGACGCGAAGAGAACTTTTATAATACAAAACATGACAATGAATGAAGAAGTGTATGTATTAATAACATATGACTTCTGGTTAAATGACGTCACAGCATTTGGCAGCCGAAGCCCAAATTTGTGCCGCAAATCGTTATTGTGCTACAAACATAGTCATAGATACTAATCAAATAATTGATTGGCATTAAAACAAAAATTGAAATAGATGATTTCAAATTTTTTCTGCAATAACTTCCGGTCGGATTTTGAAACCTCGCAATGTCAGTTGCTTTTGTTCAAAAAACATCTAGGGATTTTTTATAAACTTTAGACCAGTGATTAAAAAAAGTCTTTTACGTGCCTCCAGAGGGCGTCCTTTCTGAGAATTACGTCATAGTGGCGTTTATTTGTGGTGTTTAGCATCCCTCACTAAATATTGCCATCATTTGATTTTAGTAAAGCGCTTCCGTTTTCAAATTACATTCAATTCTCAATGCACTTCCGGAAAACCGGAAGTAAATACCAAGCAATTGAATGTGTTCGGGAATGAGAAATGTTTCCCAGGGCATCATGTACATCCACAGGAAAAAAAATGAACAAGGTACACTATTCAGCATATCAGTTCAAACAAATAACGACATAGTTCAAAACTATTTTGTCCAATTGTAACGGCCACTCCCGGCTGGAAGAGACCCCGTGGCCGTCCCAGATCATCTTGGTTGGAACAACTCGGACGACCTATGACTGAATGTGGAATGAGGCTGTAGGACGCGGGCACAGGAGATCGGCGCGACGGACTATGCAGCTGTCTATGTGGACGAGTGCGTGAGTGAATGACATCATGACGACGTCACCAAAACTTCCACTTCTTTTACAGTTGACTACGGTTCATGTTCGTACCAGGGTTCATCCTCGTAGAAATTAGTCAGTTTTGTAGGCTTCTATGTGCATTTTATATTCAGATGACTTTGACCTTCCTGTTTCCCCGGAATTAGAGGTCATGCGACTTTGCATTTGGTAATCAAAATGTTTATCAAATATGATCACAAAGTGTGAGCGTGATTGTTCATTTTATTCATGAGTTATAAAACGATTAAAAATAGTAATACATGTATTTTGAACAAAAATCGCTTGTCATTTGATAGCCAATGACGACATCATGACGTCAGAGTAATATCACACGCCTGGGATCAGGTTTGAGGTTTGTTCTAATTTTCACGTTAATGTTGTGTACAGTTAAAGTTATAGTCCATCATTTGTAATTTGTGCATTTTGTTCGTTGAGGCAACAAAAGTGCTCAAAATCTAAAGAAGGCTACTGAACAACTAACCTGATAAAGTTTCAGCTCAGCTTCAGCTGTATATTCTGAGAAAAACTGCATTCTAGGATCTCAATTTCAAATCAAAAGTTGCTGAATCATGTTTTGAATTGCGCCTGAATTCTGCGTCCGAGACACGTTCTCGCTGAGCCGAATGCAGCTACGCGATGTCGCGCACTGATCTGACGAATTATAGCAACCGGGGGTGCGTGTGCGTCGTGCCAATGCTTGCGCGCGCTTCGCCGAATAACAAAACGAACTACTAATTTAAATTTTCCTACGGTGCGTCTTAAGAAGGGGAAGCACCGTTGGAAAGGCCTTCTTTCGTTGATTACTTCAAAATGACAGCTTGCCAGAAAGAATAATTTCACGGGAAGTTTAGTCCCCTTACTATCTTTCAACCAAGTATGTTTTTCAACAATAATTACGCCAGCTTCTTTTCGGATAGCTGCAAATGATGGACTATAGCTTTAAGAAGCAAATTTGCAAAGAAATATCTTCATGGACAAAAGGACGAGAAAATCGATTGAAATTATCTGTATTAACCGCCAGTATCAATGTACGTTTGACAGTCGTTATTATTATTAGCCATGTTCATAATTGTACTAAGATAGTTTAAATGAAATATTCAAGATATTTTCATCAGATTTTTTTTTATTCCACAGTGTATACAAAACCGTTGTCAACAAGTGTAAGTATTATTTTTAATGTCGATCAATAATAAATCTATTGTATACAAGATGTGCGTGTGGGTAACGCCAAACAAATAATGACAGTTCAACAACTATTTCTTTTAATTCGGTGGTTATTTTTTCCGCAAAATGGAATGCATTTTTTTTTTAAGTATTCAGCAACACAATGCTCTTACGTATTTATGTGTGGTGATATTTTATTTATTCGGGGTAAAGAAGGAAGCCGCTAAATGAGGTGTCGTGATTGGAAGCATAACCCACCCTACCGCGCATAGTAAGATACACCGTGTCTCCTTGCTGCAGAACCAGCACCGCGCTCCCAGACATCGGCTCCCAGTGACTTGCACTGCTATAGCCAGAGACAACCACGTCGTCGTTCTTCCGGAGCTGGACGTACAGTACGCTGCTGGAAGGATATTTGCTCATAGAAAACATGAACACGTACGTGCCCGACACACTACTCGTGAACGTGCCAGTCTCGAGATCGAAGCTGGTACCCGGCAGTAGCGTCGCGGTCTGCTGGAAGGGCAAACGGGTGTTAATGTCCGTAGACACATCTAAAGCACCCGACCTCGTCACGGTGAATGCTACCGGCTGATTGGAGTCGCCTGGTGTCTCCCCTGGCTCACCCTTTTGACCTCTGACGCCAGTCTGACCGGTTGCTCCAACTAACCCTGGTGTACCCCTCGGACCTACCTTGCCGGGCAACCCTATCCCGTCGTCCCCAGGTTTCCCAGGTGTTCCCCGCTCACCCATAGGGCCACTTGGTCCAATCTCACCGTCTTGACCTGGCTCGCCCTTTGACCCCGGCTGACCGTATGGCCCCATCGGCCCTACAGGTCCAGGCATACCTGGTATGCCGGGTATAGCAGCAGGTCCCTGGCAGCACTGCTGACACACCTGAGACGCAGGACCATCACCGTCCGAGGGAACCGGCCCAGTAACGGAAGCTCGGAGCTTGACAGAGTTACCTAGAAGTAGGGCGATTGATAAAATTGCCACACATATCTTCATCTGTAAAGAAATATAACAATAAAATACGTAAACATGAGAACAAATTAAATGCCGGGAAAATGATCTATGAGAGAAAATATATTGAAGTCATGCAGACAAACTGGGGAATCACATCTTGGCCTAAGTATAAGACTTACGAAAAGTTGCCGTCGTTTGAAAAAGAAATGAATAATTATTGATGTTAACATTTTGTATGCTTAGTCAAAACTGATCTAGTTTAAAAAGCTTCTATTCAACGTTCTCACTGAACGAAATTCATTTTTCTAAATGCAGGTGGTTTATTTTGTTTAATGTCTCATCCAAAAGTGAAATCGGAAATCAGCGCTGATCAGTTTTGCTATTAGCAGCAGCTGCCATCTGTTTCATAACAGATCGAGTCTTAGAAAATTTGTTGAATTTGTAAATATCCGTGTTCCAACTGTAAAAGAAAACATTAATTTCAAAATATCAAGCCATGGTTGTTTCGAATCTAGGGGGCATGCTGGGTGAAAACTTACATACAAAAATAAATTCATCCCAGATATTGAGCCCTACATGCAAATATTCACCCAAGAGCTTGTGCTTGAAACGTTTAAAGCAGACAGAGGAGCAGAAGGGCCATATAATTTCTGCAAACATCATATCTATTCAGGATTTCTACATTCCGGATAGATAAAGCAATTTGAACTTGAATAATACGTTGTGCATCATCATCCAATCATCAAGGTCCGGCTTATTCTATTTCCTAACCGGTGACTTTCTTATCATACATTGTTTATAAAAGTGGCCTAATAATAAAGCCGGAATTGAGCACTGTGACCTAGTCTTTGTTCGAAGACGTTACTACCGGCGTTTGTGTACGTGTGTACTCATACTACTAATGAACACTTTTGCAAAACAATTGTTTTCAATCCACAGAGGGCGCACTTCAATGCATTACAGAAGTGGAAGTAAGAGATTGATCGTACTATAATCTATACTCGTTGAATAAACACAGTGAATAGGAATCGAATACATTGCAGAATCGATAACAGATTTTTATCGCGGGCCTATTGTGCAACATAATTTTCGCGCGAAGAAAAAATATTCAACGAAAGTCTTGGAACCAAGACTAACTGTGAACTAGCAAACTGACAAAGTTCAAAAGTGCAAAAGCGACTCATTCATAACACCAATAAGACAGCCATGTGTCAGTGGTCCGGATTTCCTGCATCCGTTCTTCCGTGACCAACTTTTCATCCTTAATTGTTTAGAGTGATTGCTGGAAACTTGTTAACATGTTCATCGCAACACATGTTTGTGTTTAAAAAGGGAGAGTTTGAATCAACAGAGAAAAAGAAAAGAGGTAGAATATACAGTGATTTTTGATTTTACGAGTCGGAATATACAGGGTAGAGCTTATCCCAAAACAATGTTTTATTTACATGTGAAAGAATGACAGCGCGCAAATTTCGATCACCAGGAAGCATACTCAATTTTAAACTATTCGTAAATTAGCCGAAAATTTGAAAGGAATGCAGTCAAACCTTAATAGCCATGTTTTGTCAATGAACAGTACCGTAACCGTGATTCTGTACAGTACTGCGCTATTATTGCAACGAGATATCAAGTAAGTTTTCAAGACCCATAAAGCAACCAGTCATGTAGTGTTTGGATTTTTTTTTAAAAGAATTTACGATCGACGTTTAATGTTATCATTTTAACTAAAAAGGTTTATAAATGAACATAAACAAAACGATGAAGTCTCCCACCTCATCACAGCTCAAATGTGATGCTTTATTGCCTTAAATGCCAAGTAACAGACACTAACCTTCCATTAATGTTCTTCAAACCTATCACGAAAGGAATCCTCAACACTCGAGCAGATTGCTGGCTGAAAAAAATAGCAACAACAAAGATTTACTAGATATCCGCTCGGAGATAACTCCGGAGGAGGCATAGCTGAATTTCACAAGTAAAACTCTCTCTGTCGGGGCGAACTGTGATTTGGATTGATTATTTCCAGTGAACTATACAACGGCCTAAATGGATTCACGCGAAAGTTTTAAAAAAATAATTTCTCACAAATAGGATTCTAACTTTGTTTCATCATTAGCAAAAAAAACAAGTTTAATCAGTGCAAGTTTATTTGCAAATGCCCGGAAAAGTAACTACCGGTTTAAAAAAACAATTTACAAAAAATAAGTTCTCACAAATAGGATTCTATTCTTTTTTTTATCTTTAGAAAAAAAAGAAAAAAAACCAAGTTTAAGCAGTGCAAGTTTATTTGCAAATGCCCGGAAAAGTAACTACTGGTTAAAAAAAACAATTATCATATTGCGGCCATCTTGAGTTTTTCGCTTTTAAATAAACGTAAGCAAAGCGAGGCTGGAGGAAAAATAGTGTGGTTCCTATTTTGCACACAATTATTATAATTCAGTACTGTTATTGGAAACAGGGAACATGACTTAAATGGTGGCAGCATAAAGGTCTATGACAGAAACTCAATGCTCAAAAGGACGATAGGACTGGAATCAAATACCCTGTGAACATTGTATAAAAAACCTTAACATGGAATGGGTTTTGAAAATAATGTCCCCGCGTGCACATTGTTTTTAATACGTGTGTTTGCACGGAATCCTTTTCCAAGACTGAATTTCAGACCAATACATTGTGCATACTTTTTGCTCATCGTGCAGGTTAGTTGTTATGCACCCTAGTTCAGATTCTATGGAATTTGGTTGCAGCTAACAAAATAGTACTGAAGAAAATTGATCCTATATTCCTCTAAAATTGCTTGATTTTGTAGTTGTATGAATCACAATAAGCTTACATTTTCTACATTGTTAAGGGAGTCGATCACATACCAAGGAAGTAGAGGCGGTAATATTACAGGTGGACTACCACAATCAAGTTACAATCTTTAAAAAAATGAATATTTTGGTATGAGAACTCAGGGTACTGGTTTGACTATTAGCGTCAGCCACCATCTGTCTGTCAACTGAATGTGTATTAAAATCTTAAGGATTTGTGAACATTTGTACAACCACTCAAAACATTCCAAATGTTAATCAAAATACCACTATCGTTGTTCGTAAAAAAAAAAAGAAAAACAAATCAACAGAATCTCAGTGGCATGCTGAGTGGAACCCTACATGTAAACATGACTGAATTCATGCGAGAGCTTGCGCTTAATTTTTTTTTTAGGGGGTCAGTACAGCAGAAGTCCCGCATAAACAATATGTACAAACATCAACTGCATCAACTGATTTGTAGAAATGAATCCCAGCGAGAACTATAAAAGTAATACAATTGTTTGTAAAACTCACCTAGCAAATCTCGTTCTTGTTGTTCTCACAGTTAGGTCTCTCTCGGCTTGTCGTCAGAGGCTGAAGAGGAGCTACGGTTGCCTGTGAGGGGAAAAGCGGGCGCTCGTGCCTTAAATATTACCATCGATTTCCTGAGCAGTGACTTGGGAAAATGGCCCGGTTTGTGATTGGCCCCCGGCGCACTGTCAATCACACACCACTGACTCGCTTCATATTAATGAGACGGATGTTATAAGTTGACGTGGTCCAGGCTATATAGTCACCATAAAACATAGATCACCGACACTGAAATAGCCGCATCTTATTGGTGGACACTGTATGGATGTTGGTGACACATCTAAAACACGTGTTTTGTGATTGACACTCATAACCTGTCAATCACAGACCACTCGCTTTTGATCATCGACTAGTAGGGTGACTAACTCTGATTGGTGGATAGAAAAGTGACGTACTCCGGCCGTGATTGATTCAATGTGCATTCGGCACTTCCAGTCTGTTAAATTGTGAGGATATATATTCGGGATTTTATGAGGAATTAAATCTTAGGAAAGCCAGCGGTAAAACTAGGGTTTAACTTCGCGGAAGGGGGGGGGGGGTAGTGAGAACCCGGGATGTTTTTGTTCTTCAAATGGTGCGTTTAATACATTCAAATGAAACGTATTATTACAACAGTGCATTTCCACATAAGGATTTTAAAATGTGTGTGTGTGTGGGGGGGGGGGGGGGATGGTTGGGCGGGCGGGCACAGGCTTCCACTGGAGGAGGAGGGGAAGAACATGTCCCCGGTGTCCCCCATAGTTGTGCGCCTGGGTAAGGCTTTGCTATTTAATTGAGACTTTAAGGAAACAAAATAAATACGAGTTGGAAGAAAGTTAAATCAAGTCAGCGAGTCAGGTTGACCTTGTGAAAAGGCTACAGTTAGGCCATTAATTTTGACCAGCAGAGCAACTTCCTCGTTATTATTTGGGGAACCGCCAACTTGAAAATGAGAAAAACCTGGTCCTGGGGAGAATGTTGGGTGATGGACGCTACCTGCCTATTGAGGGCACTGTTGTAGGATGCATGTACATACGCGCGCGTACGTCTATAGTGTTAATGCTTGAAATAAAGAATGTAATGCAAACAAAAACAAAACAATAAACATGTTTATGGCTGTCTTATTTGAAATCCGGTCAGTGAATAAATTATCATGTGGGCAAAAAAAAAAAAATAATGTGAATGTGATAGGTGCAGAAAATTATATGTTAATAGTCAATGACGAAAATAATAGAAAAATAATGAATATTAGTATTTGAGCTGATTTTCTTTTATATGTGCAGCGTTTCTTAACAAAATGTAGTAGACAAACAACATTTTTGTTTCTGAGGAAACTATATATATTTTTTAAACACCATGTCATAATAGAGTCGCTTTAACCAAAACAAGATTTTTGTTCTGTAATTTGGACCTTTTGTTTAAAAATTACGTATGCAAAGCCCGTAAAGACTGTCAAAGTCTTGGAACGACTGCGTCATTGAAATGGATGAGCTCCAGGTTCTCGCCAGCATT